ACTGTGGAAGATGAGAAGGAAGGAACAGAAGCTTGTCAATATATAATAAAAAGGTATGACAATTTATGGTATCAGTCCTTATACTATTCTAAATTTGAAATATAGTCCTTATACTATTCTCAATTTGAAATATAGTCCTTATACTATTGTTAATGTGATGTGAGAACGTTTACTTAAAATAAATTATTGAAATTATAGACAAGAAAAAGTACAACTGAATCTGAATTGAAATTATAAGCGTGTACTTTAACTAAAATCAAACTTCACTATATATAAATACAACAAATCAAAGTTAGTATATCATATTTGGTCTAGTGAGATGAGGCACTAGATCCCTTAAGCAATGTCAGGGGTTTGAATCCTGGCGTTTGCGAATGGAGCAAACTGGATTGCGAGGGTCGCCCTCGCCTCTGCAATACCCGATCTGAATTAGTCGGTCAATAAATCAGATACCGGTGATTACTTAAAAAAAAGGTAGATTTGGAATTGTCCCCTTTTGGTGGCCATAATCTCAACTCCTTGCCTTACCCTTGATTTAAAAAATATACTGAATTTTTATAGAACAAGGACTAAAAATATAATTTGACCTTTTGTAGCCAATGCCAGATTATCATTTGTCTACGTGGCACTCTTTTTTTTAATTTATTTTCAATCCCGATAATTCTTGAACCTTTAAATTTGGTCCTTTTATCTACTTTGAGAATTGGATTTATGGCCGTTTGATTATTATGGGAAGGAAGAGAAGGGTCTGTCAGTTCGGTGGGCCCAAATGTTTCTTTCATGTGGAAAAATTTTCTGGGTTTTTAAATATGGTAATGAATAATAGTTCTTAATAATTTAAGTTTCTTTTGGAAATAAAAGTTGTATATACTTTGATATGGGAGAAATTTTGGATATCAACACAATGAATTTAGGCAAAATTTTTGCATGAATATCGTAATGTGAAATAATTTAATTAATTGACATAATATATTTTTTCCTTTGAAAATAAAAGAAATATATAGATATTTAGTGTGTGAATTGAAAAACAATATTATTTTCTATATGGTACATTTTTTAAAAACCAAGTAAAATTTTAATGTGTTAAAAGTATATTCAATCAAGTGTGTAATTTAAAAGTATAGTTGATTAAATATATTTTTATTTTACAAGGCATAAGAATTTATTTTAATAAATAATCTAATATATATTATTTTGATAATTAATTTTTTAAATTTATATTTAAACAATTTAATCATATAATACAAGGTAAGAATCTAGATGAATTTAATATTTAGATTGTTACCAAATAAATTTATGGACCGTTGCCAATTTTAAATTTATTAAATTATTTAAATTTAAAAGTTCCAAAATAGTAAATTTATATATAAACATTTTTCATTCCACTTATAATTATTTGTTAAACTAATTTTCATAAATATAAATATATATGTATATCGTAAAATATTTTTTAAATATGAAGTATAAAAATAATTATTTTGAATATAAATTCAAATATTTTCGGATGTGTCAACTTTTGAACTCAAAACTTATTTTACTAATGTTAAATATAATTAGTGGGGTTCTAAAGATAATATGATAATCATTTTTACAAAATAATTTTAACCAAAAAAATTTCAGCCACGTGGCGATTAATCAAGAAGCTAAAATTATCACATAATATGATCCCTACTTCAGAAAAGCAAATTCTATTACAATCATTTGCTCGACATGATTTGATACTTAAGCCATTTCTGTCTGATCATGTAGTTACCCACATTATTGTTTTGATTAAGAAATAATTGTGCTTTGTACCAGAAGATGGTAAAATCTCACGTGCGACAGTTTTAATATACGGTTAAGAAAAGATGTTATCGGTTTTGTTATTATTTTTTTAACAAAATCGGTAAAAAATTACCGGAAACATTATTATGTTTACTGATTTTGTTATTATTGGACGTTTTACCAGTTTTGTTAACATATCCGGTAAAATGCTACTATTTTTGTTATTTTTCTACCGATTTTGTTATTATTGAGCACTTTACCGGAAATGTTAAAAAATTTTAATGTTTTAGGTAGAAATAATAATGTTTCCGGTAATTTTTTTACCGTTTTTGTTAAAAAATAATAACAAAATCGATAACATCTTTCCTTAACCGTATATTAAGGTTGTCGCATGATAAAATTTCCCTAAATTCACAATTTTACCAACACACGTGAATACATATATAACGAGATGGTATGAATTGAATCAGCAACCAAACAATGATGAATCAAGTGGACGAGGAGGTGCAAAGGAGTCTAGATCACATGAAAGATTATGTAATAAAGTTCAATTTTAACCTATAGTTAGCAAACGCACGATCTTGCCAAAATTAAACTTGGGTTAAATCAACAACATGTTTTAGGTTGATGAAAGTGATGTATTGAGGTTACAAGGTGGATCTTCGATAATAATCCCTATAAAAGATCACTTGTTTTTCGGTTTTGGATTTAATCATGAGTATTTATTTATTTTTAGGACATAAGTTACCGTAAATTATAATGTCTTTTAATATATTTAAATGATTTTAATCCTTAAATTACAAACTTTAAACCTTAAAATATATAATTATAATCTCTAAAGTCTAAATAAGACACATAAATACATTAAAACTATGTTTATGGACTATTTTTTTCACTGTCTGTGGATAGAATAACAATCCATAATATATATTTGGTATAACTCATCTTTAGCATTAATATATATCACAGCTCACAAATAACAAACAAGTCATTCTGACGATCCCAATCAACTGGGCAGGTTGAAAGTAGAGATGTTCAATCGGTTTAGATTGGTGGATGATTGAGTTGAATTTTTTTTTAAATTCAATTAATCTAATTTTTTATCATTAATTGAATCAATTTTATTTTGATAAATATTACTCGAACTGAAAAAAAATCGCTTGATTTTTGAATTAACCAAAATTTGTTATAAGTTTTTAGTTGGATTAATTCGGGTTTAGTATTATTGATATTTTTATTTTTGTTAAAATTTGATTAGATCTTAAAAGTTTAACGAGTCTATTGTGGTTAAAAATATGGTCATTTGTGGTGGCCGGAGTGGGATCGGTCCATTTCGGAAGGCACGTGAACCGTTTCCACATTGTTTTCGTTTAAATTTAAACAAATTAAATTTTAATTTTAAAATTTTAATTTAATAATTAAGCGTGGATTCATTTTTTTACTATTATTTATATTTATCATTAATCTATAGGTATGGTTATATCCTTATCCTCGAAATCATTCAGCATCCTCTTCTACTATACATTGTTTAAATTATCGATAATTTTTTAATTTCTATATAATAAAAAGTGCATACAAATTTATAATATCAAACATATTATAATAATAACAGTCTGAACTGAATTCATATTTTCTCATTCGAATTATTGTTGTTCTTTATCTGTAAGTTTTGTTGTCTGATATATTTGTATAGTTTGAACGTGACTCCAGATTCATAAATAATATGAAAACTTGGGTGATTGTGCATAATGGGTCGGTTCAGGCCCAAATCAAATGTTAGAAAATGAGATTGCAAGAGTACATTGTCTTGGTCCATCACTTAGCAGATCTGATCACTCCACATCAAGGGGGAGGATCAGACGCCAGAGATTGGATCCCTCGTCCCTTCACCCGAATCCGATTTAAGTTTAAAGAGGGCTCATCCATTACAAAATTCAACATAAATTTTAAAATAAAAATGAATTTTTTTGATAATTTTTTTTAAATAATAACCTAATCGAAGAAAATATAATTGTTATAATAAAAATCCATAAATATATAGAAGAAAATTATATTCTTATTATGAGTAGGATTAGAGTTTTCACTTTAAACCTAAACTTAATCTAACTTAATCACATTTTACAAAATTCGACTGGATTAATTCAAGTTTTGAAAATTTAAACCTATTTATTTTTTTAATTTATTTTTCCATGTGCACTGCAATATATGACTTGTCACCTTAATCAGTCTTCAATTTAAAGAGTGATTTTTTTATCGATTTAATTTAATTTAATTAATATTATGTTTGGTACAATATAAAAGAGGATATAACATCAGCTTTGTAAACGCTTAATATCATCCGATTTATGGATAAAGTTGACTATGAATAGTATATATTTTATATTAAATTAATAGAAAAACAAATTCTCTATTTTTTAATCTTTAATATTGTAATATAAGTATTATTTAAATGAATATCAAACAAGTCCATATAGGTTAACATTGGGTAAGATATAGGCGTACACGGTACACGTCAATTAATACCTCCATAGATGATTTCATAGCTCCACCACCTTGATCGTATAAGTCCCCAAGATTCCATGGAAAAACAAATGGGCAGTGTTCAAACACAGTTACGCATGAAGCAAGAAGAACCAGAAGAATGGGGCAAGAGCATGCGTTGTCCGGCGACATTATCGGAGGCTTTGCGGAAAATGAAAGCGACGATGAGTTATTTACGCCTGCGAAAGGAAGATCCGAGCTGAGTTCACAGCTAAAGGTGGAGACTATATGGGTGAAGGATGGAAGAGGTGATGGAACAGTTAAGCTTCGTTTTCATGTCGTGGCCGACAAGGAACCAGAAGGTCCACAACCGTACTTTTGCCATTAAAGAAAGAAGCTTAAATCTCCGTTTTGCATCCATGACAACATATTTTCACCCCTGAAGGAAAAAAAAAAACAAATGAATCAGCAAATGTCGAGGGATGAATCTGTCGAAATAGTGCAAGGCAAAAGTAGGGATCATGGGTAGGTGAAAAAAATTCTGTTAAAAAATGAAAAAAAATTATGAATTTGAGAATTATATTGAAAAGAACTGTTAAGTTTAAGAACTAAAATTTAATTTATCGTATTGTTATAGTCATACACACCTGGGCCAAGCTGAGATGAGAATCACGGACTCCTCCTCCCTTTATCAAATCCGCTTAATTGAAAAACTCCAATTTCTTTCAAAATTCTGCTCATACACTCACATCTCTGTGCCTCTTTCCTTACTTTTTCTCCTTCAGAGAGAAACTGATCGGTCAAATGCTCTATTGAACACTAAAAAAGAAGCACCCATTTCCCCAAATCTTCCCTTCCTTTTCCTTCTCTGCTTCCCCACCACTCTCAAAGAAAGAAAAGAAAAAGAAAAGTCTGGGTTATGGACGGCGGTGCTGCCTACAACCCACGTACTGTTGAAGAAGTCTTTCGAGATTTCAAGGGTCGTCGAGCTGCCATGATTAAAGCTCTCACTACTGGTATTATTCTACACCCTTTTCATTTTTTTTTTAAATTTCTACTCTTTTGTCTTACTTCTTAGTCATCTTCTTAACCTCCCTTTTTGTTTTCCATATCTTAAAGTTTGTTTGTTTACTTTTCTGGGTTTGGTGTTGCTTGCAGATGGGGAAGAGTTTTACAAGCAGTGCGATCCAGGTACTGAGTTTTTCTTCGTTGTTGAATTTGTTGTTCCCAGCTTCGTTTTGTTGAAATGATTTATCTGGAGAATTGAAGTTTGAGTTTTTTCGTTTTCAATGTATTTTCTTTGTTTTAAATTCAACCGAAGACAAAATTATCTGTAGTGCATGCAATGTTGTTCACGATTCTATCTTGTATTGTTGTTTAATTCTAATGTCATGAAGACAAAATTATCAGTTTTTGAACAATCATTTATGCTTAGTTTGAACTTCCTTTCTAAAAATAAGAATGGATTATTTTGGACTAAGAGTGATCTATTTACAACATTCTGTTCAGACGAGGTAGATTTGTTTATTTCAACAGTTTGTTGTTATTTCTCAGGAGTTCTTTTCACAAATGTGGATTCCTTTTCTTTCTTATAAACTACTATTCGATTTTTAAAAGTAGTGTTTTCTTTGTTTGTGCTATTTATTAGTTGCTTATTGGTTTGCAGGATTTGATTTGGATAAAAATGTATGTTCATCGTATGATTGCTTACTTGTTTTACATCGTTCAGTTCTAGATGCACGAAATGGAAATGAGTTAATTGACTCTTTAAATTTTGGTTTCAGAGAAGGAGAATCTTTGCCTTTATGGATATCCCAGTGAGCAGTGGGAGGTGAATTTACCAGCTGAAGAAGTGCCTCCGGAGCTTCCAGAGCCTGCGCTGGGTATTAACTTTGCCAGAGACGGGATGCAAGAAAAGGACTGGTTGTCTTTGGTTGCCGTACACAGTGATGCATGGTTACTTTCTGTCGCTTTCTATTTTGGTGCTAGGTTCGGATTCGATAAAGCTGATAGGTAGTTTCTCCTATACCCAAGTGTCATATCCTGTTTTGGCTTTATACACCGTTACAGATGTAAATAAGCCAAGTTACTCATAGGCATGCAACGGTCCATCCAAATTGATTCGAGTATCTTGCAGTTTTGGTGTTCTGTTAATCATTAGTATTTTGTTATCTTCTTCTCTCTCCCTCTCTGTAAATGGATCTTCATTTTAAGGTAACTTTTAGTACATTATCTAAACCTGTTTAACTTGCTAGAATTTGCTATTTGGTTCGGGAAGCCCCATTTACTATTCTTGTTTAAACACCTATATATAAGGCTTCCCTGAAAATATATTGCATTACTAGTTTAAAATCTTTGCAAAAATGCTAAAGCTAGGTGTTCTACATCCAATATACGATTGGACTGATCCTTAAATATAGGCCTCAGCGTGGCCATGGAGTGCTTTTAGTGTCCGTGTACACAGTATGTGCTAGGCATTGCATGTTAATTTAGGACACTGTGTAATGGTTTTGCATTTGATTGTAACAAGTATGATATACTTTGAGCTACTGTTTTTCTGCAATAATACCAGTCGATTTGATGCAGGAAACGCCTTTTTAATATGATAAATGATCTTCCGACAATATTCGAAGTTGTGACAGGAGTAGCTAAGAAACAGACAAAGGAAAAATCGGCAGTTTCAAATCATAGCAGCAACAAATCTAAATCAAACTCTAAGGTATGGAAAAAAAAATTCTTGCTCAGCTTTTCTGTTAAATGTTTATCTGTTTAAATTTTAAGGTTAAGGTTGGTTGAGTTCAAACATATTATTACATTATTCTCGCAGTTTGATGGGTTTATGGAGTGAATTTTATCATTGGTTGCTGTTTTTTTTTAATTATTATCAAAATCCCATGTAGGCACTAGAACTTAATTTAGTTATACCGAATCTAGTCAGCGCGATGGATTTTCATTAATAGATTTTCAATGTTCTTTCGTCATGTGCTGATAGCAGACCCGAAAGGGAGAAGTAACCTTGCGATTTCAATGGAAATGGACCTTATAAATTAGATTTCTTTTTCCCCTTTTATGTTTTGATAATACACAGCGAGGATCTGAATCCCAGCCCAAGTATTCGAAGGCGGTGGCAGCCAAGGATGAGGTTGAAGATGGTTTGGAAGAGGAAGATGATGAGGAGCACGGAGAGACACTATGCGGGGCTTGTGGAGATAATTATGCAGCTGATGAATTCTGGATTTGCTGTGATATGTGCGAGAAATGGTTCCATGGGAAGTGCGTTAAGATTACGCCGGCAAGGGCCGAGCACATTAAGCAGTACAAATGCCCATCGTGCAGCAACAAGAGAGCTCGACCTTGACGACGGTTGCGCTTGGTGGTTTGTTGTATGTGGATTCGGATATCGTGGACTTCCTAACTGTCTAGTAGGTGACGTAGTAGTCAGTGTGTGGTTTAATTTAGGAGACCTTTGTTTACTTGGTGTTTACTTAGATTGTATGGAGGTCGTGAACTTGCTGTTTAATTTGATTATAAAATTGGCTATTTATAATCGTTTCTTTCTGCAATTGGAAGCTAGACTTGCTTTTATGTTTGAATCTTTTACCGTGCCATAATTTCACATTTAATCCCTAAACTCTTGCAAAATTTGTGATCGTGAAAACGTGTTTTGTGCACTTTTCAGATAAACTTGGTATAATTTTTTATATTTTATATGACGAGTTTAAGGTACATTATAAAAAACACTTAAAATCTCTAAATAACTCTCATCAACCTCATTTCATTCATTTTCTTTTCAAGTGTAATATCTCTGATTGATTAAACACATTAACTGAATTTTCTCATAATTTTATCTAATTAAAAAAAAATTCACCATCTTAAAATCAACAATTAATCATTATCATTATAAACTTATTAACAACACTATGAAAATAAAACATTAAATTCACTTATGTAAAATAACGAGGACTAAAATCAAAATTAGACCAAAATAGTAATATATATATATATATATATATATATTATATACTGTTCTCGAATGTGACGCCTCATCCAGAATGAAAGCCGCAATACTTGCACGTGCATCGGACTCCTGTTTCTAAGAAAGAGAAAAACTACAGAAAAATAAAATAGAAAAAGTTATAAATCAGAAATATAACAAGAAACGATCGTAAAGAAATAATATTGAACTTATGTGAAAAATTTACATAAAAAATTAATTATATATTTATAATTGTATAGATACATAATCCTAATAATAAATAGATCTCCTCTTCCACCATAAAATTTTTTTCTTTCAATTTTATTAAATTAAATTAAATTAAATAAAATTCCAGTTATAATTTCTAACCGTAACTGCTGCTCAATATAGGCTCCAGACGTGGACTCACTTGCATGTGCAATCATAGGAGTTTTCTTAAATCTGCATCTCTCTATGTAATAACTAAACCAACAGAAATGACTAACAAGCCAAAATGGCACCCAAGGAACATAAAATTTTATATTAAACATGAATTTTAAAAAATTAAAAAATAAATTTATAAATTTTAAGAGAAACGAAACTCATTACCAATAAATTTAAAATATAAAAAAATTAAAAAAAAATTCAAGTAACACTTCGATCCATCCCCGAGTGTGCTTGTTTTGGATAAAATCTTGGACAGCAAAATCGAGCGGTGGGTGTATGTCTGTTGTTTCTACTTGATGGTCCATTCATGGTGTTAATGGTGGCAGATGTTGTATGGCCCATGGAAAATCCAATGCAGCCACTGGGTTTTTTTATCAGCCCCTGGTTTTCCGACCCTATGATTATCTGATTCTGACATGCACCTTATGTTTAGGGCAAACACACTGATGTGATCACTAAATTTTTAGGATACTTTTTTTATCACTAGAATACTAAAAATTACATTATAGTCATTAAATTTTAATTCATTTTTATTACGATCACTATCGTTAGTTGTTGCTAAGAAAAACTGATGCGATACGTTTAAAAATTTTAAGCTTTTTCTTCCAGAAGATTAATATTGTTCGATTTTGAATTGATCCGACGATTGAGAATGATAAATTAAAAAAATTAAGTTTTAGTTTCGATTAGGATTTGAAGATATTGAAAGATTTTTCAATAAAATAGAGTAGTTTGATTATCTTCTCTACTGAAAAACTACCAAACAACAACAAAAAGGACAACAAAAGAATGAACTATGATTGTCGATAAGAAACAAGATAAGTCGGAGTTTCTTTTTTTTAACTTTTAAGATGTAATATCAATTTTTATTAACGATAATGTTCGTAATGAAAGTAAATTAAAAAATTAATGATTATAAAATATATATTTTAAAAATTCAATGAGTAAGATGAAAACATTTCGTAAGTTAAGTGATCATCAAAGATAATTTATTCTTTTATATATATATATATATATATATATATACATATATATAAGTAATAACCATTGATACAATATAAATGTTTTAACTTTTATTTTTATTATATTTAGATAAGTGAATGAATGAAAGACTAAAAACTAAAATTTTATGATATGTAGGTGGATCCGAATTCTCACATTCGCGTGTATATATACATGTATGAGTTCATCTTCCTGTTTTTCTCCAAGATTGAGAACATGGAAGCTACATTAGTACATAATGATCCAGATGAAGGGGGGGGGAAGGATAAACAAACTGCCAGATATACTTTTTACATTAACAAACCAAAGGAAGAAAAGAATTTACAGTTAGTAACTCCTTACTAAGCAAACTGGTTAAACCCATCAGGCTCTCTTTTCATGTTGTCAATGGCTCTCGGGTCTTGGTCGATAGCCGCTTCAAGAACTCATAGGTCATGATCATGGTTGTAGCTGACATAGCCATCGATGCCCATCGTGGTCCCAATCCTCTGTAACAAGCTGCCAATCCTCCTCCTTGTACTAAATTCCGCACCGTTTGCGGCACACTCGATGGTTTTCTTATCCCATTCTCTTCCCTGTCCAGTACCTGTAATCTGGTCTTGATGGTGTCGAGTGGCATGGTGATCAAAGCCGAAACGCCACTGGCCATGGCTGCACTTACCCCTTGGACAGCCACAAAGGCCTTCGATTCAGGCCTAAAACCACTCTCATCTTTTTTACACAAGGAGCAACCGATACCACTCCAAATGAACTTGTGTGCAACGGAGTAAGATGCCCACCAAACGGCGTTCGACGGGGCGTACGTCAAGATCGAGATCCCAAATCCCCTGTATAGTCCTTTAGGACCATCTGCATATAGAATTTTCCTAAACGCATCAAAACCATTCCTGTATCTACAAAAATTCACATTGTTCACATTTTTGCTACTGTTGACATCATTGTATCCTTGAACCATAAGCCTTTGGCTCACAACATCAATTGGGGTCCAGACCAGTTGAGCAGCCATGGCTGAACTCAAACCAGCAGCTGCATTAGATATAGCAGTTGCTGAAGTATCTGAATACCCTAAACTAACAGTTGCAGTGCCAACACTGCTCTTGGTAACCTCAAGGGCTCCCATGTAAAGGGATCTAGCTGGGATTGTCCCCATCAAAGAGGTACCAAAACCCCTATAGAACCCTCTAAATCCTTCATATTTCATGATGGTAAAACACATTTTAAAGCAAGAAACTTGTGTAGATGCAACTTGTTGCCTAGTTTTCAACACCACTATAGGGTAAAGAGCAGCTGATACACCTGAAAACAAAGCACCACCAAGGAAAAAGAACTTGGATTTATCAAGCATATGCCAATCTATATCTGCTGGTATGTGAATCTCTGACCCTGAATCATCCTCAGCTGCACTTATGCTCATTTTCGCCACTTTTTTTCAATCCGTTTAGCTTAACCAAGTAAAATCTGATTCCTTTTTTTGTTACCCTTTCACCAAAACTAATCACAAATCAACTCAGCTAAGTACTTCTAGCATTTGGACAAAAAAGTTAGGAACATTAAGCAGAAAATAAAAGGAAAAACAGTGACTTTCTAGCTTCTTTTAGCTGTAAAACCAGAAATCAAAAAGGGTTTTCGTTGGTTCTTCTTCCTTTTCCTTTTGCGCAGCCAAATTTGAGATCGAAAATGGATCAGGAGAAATAAGTCGAGCATTTAAACTCTATATAAAAACCCCAGATTTTATCTTTGATTCTTACCAGAAAAAGACCATGTCTTTGCAACATCTTCAGGGCTTCATCTTTACTGTCAATAGGGCAACTGGGAAAAAACCAAAACAGAGAGGGAGTGAAAGAACAGATCTTGAACCAAAAGAATCAAAGAGAAGGGAAAATACAAAGTTGGATTTTTTTCACAGAAAGCGAAATGGATAGCGTTAACAATAAGGATATCCAAAAGAGAGAGGTGGGAGAGAGTGAAAGAGGGAAGCTTTAACGGTAGTAGAGGGAGAGGAAAACAACAATGGTTCTGGATTTTAGCAAGGGTTTTTGCGGATCGAGGAACGTGGACACGTGTTGGTGTTCATATGGGGGGAGCTTTATTAGCCTACTTTTAGGCTTACTTGGCTCAGCTGAACTCACCGATTCCATAAACAGAATCACATCTTAATCTAGTCGGTGATTGGTTTGTTGGTGTATACCATCTCGGTTTCATAAGATTCTTCCTAGTATGATTATAGGGTTTCTTTCTTGGTGTAATGTTAAATTAAGAGACAACGTTTTTCTAAATTATTATTTTAATTTTAAATAAAAATGATTTATATTCAATTATCTTTATTAGTTAACTTCAATAAAATTTATATATGTTTAATTGTTAACGTGTCATATATTATATCATCATTTTGAGTGATGAAATATCACATGTAACATCATTGCTTTGATAATATGATATATATCATATTATTATATTATATGACGTGATACATATATATTATTATTTGGATAAGATGACACGTATCATCATCTTGTAATATGACACCTATCAAATTATCATATTTACTGATGTGACATATGTTATGTTATCATCTTAAATATATTAACAATTAAACACACATGAAAATATTACGTTAACAATACGGGTTGATTGTCGACTAATTAATAATTTTAATCAAATAATTTACATTTTAATTAAAAATTAAAATGTAAGAGACTAAAATAAAAAAAAATAAGAGTTAAAATATCATTCAAATAATCATTGGACTCTCAACATTGTACCTTATTTCTATTATATTCGCATTATTTTCTTCCAGCTTTGATTTAGCCTTTTCATGCTTTTGGGTACCATTCAATGAAATTTGTCCACTTTCTCTTTAAAATATATAACAAGTCGTGTCACAATGACCTACTTTGTGTGGAAATTGCCAAAATGGTGTAATGTTTTGATTTTTACGTAGATAATCTCTTCACTGTTTAGTAATCATCCCATGTTTCTTGGTCAACTTAAGCTTCCTTTATATAATTATAAACCATTCAACGGTTTTGTCGACATCAGCATGAAAGAAATGTCTCATCGAGCTTTATCACATAAATTTGACTTGTAAAATTCTTGTCTGCAACTGCTTAAGCTATCAGCGGCAGCTTCTCGATGGAGTGCTCGTTAATTATGCGGTCGAGAGTCCTTTACATGTTGCAGCAATGCTTGGACATTCAGATTTCGTCAAGGAGATTATACAAACCTTCTTTATCTAGCCAAAGAGCGGCTGAAATTTCGTATTCGGGGCCTCGAATGCTGGTGCTCGAAAAGACTTTGAAGAAGGAAGATTGGGTCACAAGGAAACGAGATTCATTGATGGTGGTGGCATCACTTATGGCAAATTGGCAACAGTGTCTTTCCAAGCTCGACTAACCCCTCCCAGGTGGTCTGTGGTTCGGTACAAGCACCCCAAGCCAACAACAGAGGCGGGGGACTTCGATAACGGCATATAGAAACAAGAGATGTTATAATCAGTACCTTGATGCCAACATGATAAGTTTCATCTCATCGATGAGCATGATCTTGTTGCTGATTACATGGCTGCCTTTCCATGTCGATGTTAACTCTCGTAATGTGGGTCGCTAAGTGTAAAGTAGTCAAAAGAGTTTTTTTTGGGTAAATTACATCTGGTAGTCGCTGAACCTTTAATACACTTTCATTTTGATCACCTAACTTTTATAATTTATATTACCATCAATAAACTTTTATTTCTATTTCAAATGCTGATATTAAAATCTTCTCCCCACTAAAAAAACCCTAAGATTCATAAAGATAAATTCAAGAACAACCACTAATCAATTCCAACAGTCAACTTAATTTTGTTTGGCTAAAATATTAACATAATTTGATTTCAAGTTGGTCGTGTAGTTAACAGCGACGGATAATCTTTTTTAGCTATTTAATTTCGATTAGGATTTGAGGAGATTAGAAGATTATTTGAGAATTTTGAACAGAAGGAAAGAAAGAGAAGAAAAAGAGGAAAAACTTGGTGATATTTTCGATTGGGAAAACATCGAATGATGGCAGAAACAACAATAGAACGAGATGATGATTTAATAGAAATTAAAAGTTAAAACTTTGTAATTCGTAATTATTCGTCAGATCAACTTAAAATCGAAATATGTTAATTTTATAACCAAATTAAGTATTTTTCACCATTAGAATTGACGGGCGACCATTATGTTCACCGTCATATCAATACTTTTTAACGATAGCTAACACAATGATCATAATGAAAACAAATTAAAAATTTGTAATGCAAGTTTTAAAAATTCAATTATCAAAGTAAAACCACCTTAAAAGTTCAATGAATCTTAGAGTACTTTACCCTTTTTTTAATCATCAATATGCATTGTAAACATTTTAAGTAAAGTTATTAAAAACATTTTTAATGTAAACATTTAATAGCAAAATAAAAAATTTATACATTAAATATCAATAAAATATAATAAATGAGCCTAATTATTTAATATTGTATAATATTGATATAGTATTTAACATTCTTTAGTTTAATTTTTATAAATTTAAATATTATGAACTTAAATATTTTTTATATTTATTGAATTTAATATACTTGGACTTGAAAAATTAATCAAACCTAGTAATTAACTCAAATTAATGACCTTTTAGCCATTAATTAATGACCCATTATTCTATTGAATTTTCTACTGTTATCCTCACACCAAGTTGTATAGCTAACCACACAATTAATTCGAGTTTGAATTATTTAATGATTTGGTCTTTCATTTTTTTTGTATTTTTTTTATTTTTTATAATTTAATTACTTAATTTTATATTTTATTTAATTTGGTCATTTTACTACATTTCTTTATAAATTCTTTCTTCCAATTAATTATTTGATTCCTTTATACTATCACAACACTTTTTCTCAAAACTTATTATAAAAAATAATACTATAAATATAGTATATATATATATTAAATGATATTTGATTTATTTAATAATACTATAAAGCTTACTTTATATATATATGTATGTATATCGTAAGTTTAAATTAGAACCAGTCAATGCCATAATATTATAAATATACAATTCAATTTAAATAGAAATTTAAATAAATATTTTATTTAACTCATATTTTATAAATCCGACTCTAAATTTTTTTTAAATAAACTTAAATGATAATAATATTTTATTGGATGTAATTTAACTCTATGTAGTACTCATCTCTGATTAAACTAAATTTTTTTATTAGCTGACCTTATTCCCATATGTAATTGGGTAAGGGGAGATAGGATAGTAGGCTGCCCCTAACGCCAGGTTGAAAGCAGCTTCCGTGGGAGACCTCTGACAGTCAGAATTATGAATTTCTCACCGTGGGACTCGTTCCCACGATCCCAAGGTTAAGAGCCTTGCGCTCTACCAACTGAGCTGGACGGGATTCAATAAATTAGCTGACCCTTATTCCCATATGTAATGGGGTAAGGGGGAGGTAGGATAATAGGATAGTATGCTGCCTCCACCGCCAGGTTGAGAACAGCTTCCGTGGAAGACCTCCGAATTATGAATTGCCCTCCGTGAGACTCGATCCCACGACCACAAAGGTTAAGAGCCTTGTTCGAGAAAAACACCCAAATTAAACAACTGTTAAAAGATTAGTAATAGAACGTAGGGTGTAAGCTGCTTTAGTAGCTGCTAAATTTTTACATTCAAAGTGCACTTGCAAGTAAACTTGCCAATGTGGGAATGGATCTATTAATGTTAAAAAAAGTCAGATTCTCTGATGGCTTATTCCTCCTTTTTAATTAAAAAAAACAAACATAGTTAGATTCATGCATAGTAATTAGAGTATTGGATAAATATGGAAAACTCAAAAATAAAAAAATCAAATTATATGATATTGAGCAAGATAATTCATTTTTAATTTTAATATTTTAATATATACTAATAATAACCAACTTCTTAAAAATATGACTTAAGGTTAGAAATTATAATTTCATCTGAATTTTGATCCACCTCAACCCTGTAAAGATTAATTTTTCTTCTAAAATTTTGGTTCGAGACAAATTTTAAAAGGAATAAAATTGAAGTCGAAGTAAATTCAAATTTATGATAAAAATTCTTCTACCAATTTAATATATATTTTTTGATTACCTTAATATATATATTTTAATATATTTACAAAAATAATATTATATACATATATTATTAAAATATGAAGGCCTACTATGTTGAAGTTTTATTATATATATATAATGTAAAGAGTTTTATTATATACATATATTAATGACCTAATTATCTTTTGGCCATCAATTAATGATCTATGGAGTTTTCTTCTGGTATTCTTGCATGGCCGAGTTTCGGTGCAATGGTGGGGAAAAATGGTCCATGGTAATTTTCTTGGTATAAATAGGAGTGAAACCAAGCACCAAAGCAACACACACAGCTTACCATGGCAACTAGATTTTCTCATCAGCTTTTTGGAGCAATCCTTGTGTTCTTGGTGTTGCATCCTTTTGCAGCCAAGTCTGCGACTTTAAAACTTGAATCCCTTCAAAATCTTGAACATGCCCAGAAAGGAGATGTAGTCAATGGAGTTCATCAAGTGAAGAAATTCCTCAAAGCCTTCGGGTATTATCCTCGTGAGATTAATCGCCTGGATGATCACTTTGATGATGCTTTGGAGGCTGGTCTCGCTGTGTTCCAACAACTTTATCATCTGAATGTGACTGCTTTGCTTGATTCTAATACGATCAAAGCAATGGCAACTCCTCGTTGTGGTGTTCCTGATGTTAATATTAATAAAACTTCTAATGGCGGCAGTAATCATCGTGTGTTTCGCATAATTGCTGACTATTCCTTCTTCCCCGGGAATCCCAGATGGAGCATGTATTCACTCGTGTTTGTGTTCATTTATTTATTTTTGGAGGTGTTTTTGTTTGATTCATTTAATATTTGTAAACATGTTCGTTTAACGTTTATGAGCATGTTCGCATTCATCAAAATGTTGGTTGAGCATTCTGAACATATACGTTTATATTCAGAAAAATGGTGAAATTATGCTTAGACTTCACAGTTTAAACTCCAAAGTTCACCCTATGTTGAATTTTGTCTTTACCTTAGTCAATATTTAAATGTAAGAAAATAAAAAAAAGGGAGAATTAGATAAACGAGCTTTTAAATGAGTTTTTTATGAATATAAACGAACCGAACATACCTCTATTGATCATATTCATTTGTTTATTATGAATGAACATAAAAATTTTATTTATACTTATTTATTTGATTTAATAAATAAACATAAATTAATATTATACGAACAATTCAACCAACGTTATGTTAATTATACCCATAATCTTAACATCAGTAAAACTTCTAATGGAGCAGGTACCAACTCACCTACAGTTTCCTACCTGATTCAGTCCCAGTGGTTAGCTTACAAGTACTGGGACCCATTATTGCTCGAGCGTTCCAAACATGGGCAAATGTTTCTCCATTCAGGTTTCGACAGGTGGCACAGGGAACTCGATCAGATATTCGGATCGGGTTTTACCGTCGCAGTCACGGCGATGGTGCTCCGTTCGACGGCCCTGGAGGTGTCCTGGCTCATGCATTTTCGCCACAGGATGGGAGGTTTCACTACGATGCGGAAGAGAATTGGAGCAGCAATCCTAGCGGATCACAGGTGGACTTGGAATCGGTAGCCGTGCATGAAATAGGGCACGTTCTCGGCCTCGGTCACAGTCAGGACCGAAGTGCGATCATGTTTCCGTCATTTCAAGTCGGAACTACCAAAAGGAACCTTGGCCAAGACGACATTAATGGCTTACGTGCTTTATATCGATACTAGCACGGCCTTGTTCATATACTACTTTTCATGGCGTGAGAAGTATATGATATTAACACACTTGAAATAAGATATATGTAAGCGTAAAGCTTTATTTCCCATGCATTAGAAATAAAGTTCAGATGAAATTCACTTGAAACCTTGGTAATTTATCTTGCGTTTCATTAATTTCCCTCAATTGTTGGATTTTAGCTTCGAATCTTTTGAATAAATTGATAAATAATGATTTTTATTTTCATTGTTATACATTGTTAGAGTTTCGTGACTCGAACTTTGTTTAATCTGATCCGAAAATTTTATAATAAAATAAAGATGAAATTTTGATATACAGTAAAAATCTAATTTTATTATATTTCTTATTACACAAATTTCCTTACTAATCAATGATTAGTAATTATTTTTATAAATAAATATTATAAATTAGGGTTAGAAGTAAAATGATTAAGCCTTAAAAGTGACATATAGCTGCAATAATCTTGTATTATTTTTATTTTCAATATTAATGAAAATTTTCTTTCTTTTTCCATAAATTTTCCCGTAAAATTTTGATATCTTTTTTTGTGTGGTCCTGTTGTCATTATCTCGATATGATATACATAACTCATTTAAATCTAAATAAAGTATAATTCGACTCAAATCTAAAATTTTCTTTAGTTTAAGTAGAATTTATTTTCATTAATATGTAAAATTTTTACTCTCAAAGAAAAATTCATGTATATTTATATATGTAAATTAACCGAATAAATTTTTTTGGTCGATTTAATTTAATAATTGGATCAGCTGAATTTTAGTTATTTCACATTAATAAATCAAAACTTTATTTTAAAATCTTGAAATTTATTGTTTGACAATTCTAATAATTAAAATCAAACATTAAAAATGCCAAACTTTAAAAAATAAATTAGCATAAAGAACGGATTTAACAAGAAAGTTTGATGATGAAGTTAATGTTAAATCAGTTGGTTTAAAGCTTGGAAAGTTGAATAAGTTTTACAGTGACAATGGAAGTTTCATGTGAAGATGTGGGGGCAGGGATGGTCAAGGTCAATGCGTCTTTTATTAGGTAAAACAAGTGGTGGACTAAGACAGCTACAGTGTGCCCCCTTCATGATGAAGGTGGATTTGTCTTCAATTAATCTCCATTAATTACCTGCTTTAATATAGTCATGATGAAGCATGTTACAGTCCTCCGAGAGCATGTAGCATACTGTCAATATGTATGTATGTATGTATGTATGTATGTATGTATGTATGTATGTATGTATGCATAACCATCTTTAAAGAATGTTTTGGTCAGCTTATAGTTCATAGTTGGGGGTCTTAAATCACTTTTGACTTGTCTTCATTGTTGTGAAAGAGTTGGTCTATGCACGAGACTGAACAAATCAAAAGCTAAATTCACACCAAAACAAGCAAAATTCCCAGAAGTCATCATTTTCCTTTTAGCTTCTTAATAGTAAGCAGCTAGATGGGACCCAAAGATCTAATCACTTAGGCATGTTATTTCAACATTAACCATTGAAGCTTCCTGTAAATGTCATAGGAAGGTCATGGCGAAACCACCTTGCAGCAGAATATAGTATATGTATAGCTCTATACTGCTACCATTAGACAGCAGTCTCTTAGCTTCTCTAAATGTCTAACAACAACAGTTTTAGGCTGCCAGGCTCCCCGGAAAGCGCCTATCAGTCCAATTTCGAGTTCCCTGACGAGTGGACTTTCGACGGTTGGCTCGAGGATTATCCTGAAGCCATCATCTCAGGGCCAATTCAGTTTCCTTTTAATCAGGACAATGAAGCTAATGACTTTGCTGGCACTAGCAGCCTCCTTCGAGTACCTGGTAATGAAATTACTTAAAACTTCTTGAAGTTCTTACGAATCTGTTCACTCGAGAATCAATGCTTCTTTGTGTTGATAGGGGAAAATGAAACTGTGAGGGAGAGGAGGGAAGCCAGAGAAAGATACGCATTCAAGACCAAGTCCGAGGTCGAGATATTGGATGATGGATACCGGTGGAGGAAATACGGGAAGAAAATGGTGAAGAACAGCCCGAATCCGAGGTATTTTAGCCTGCTTGTATGGTTTGAATCATCCTTTAAACTCTCGGTTGTATCCATTTCTTATTGTTTGATTGATAGGAACTACTATAGATGCTCTGTTGAAGTATGCCCCGTGAAGAAAAGAGTCGAAAGAGATAAAGACGACCCGAGTTACGTAATCACAACTTACGATGGGATCCACAACCACCGAAGTGCTTCTTGAATCAATCGACAATTCACCTTTAGGATCTCAGAGCCAACTCCTGCAGAAGGCCAACATCAATCTGCAACGATCGCATCATCTGCATAGAATATCGAAAAGTCTCTCTGCATTTCTATCCTTGTAGGGTATCTGTAAGAAAATCCAAGGACCGGACTTATCAGAAGAGGTTGTTCGGATCTGTTCTTTGAACACTTGATGTAATATGTAATAATAATCCGAAATCATCAATAAAATTATAGACTTCTTGGTGAGCCAAGTGATTGCAGCATTAAGAAACCATTGCAAGAGAATAAGAAGGCACAAAAGAAAGCAGAAAACTTTAGCTATATGCTTCATTTATCAAATTGAGATGAATTGATTACATTTGAATGAATATTCAACTGTAAATTGATTCTTATTGGACTGTACAATCTTTGACAACTTTAGTTGCAGAAAAGTTGGCTGATACATGCATACAAAGTAAACGGTCAAAATCCACAATCTACAACAAAATTCGACAACTTAATTTAGGAAGATGACATTAGGGTTTCGATAATGTGGACCCGAATCTGCCAATCCTTTCAAACCCGCAAATGTTTCATCGACATTCAGGTTAGACTCCACAGCACGTTCCCAGCATGCATTTTTCTCAGCACTGATGGGTAGAATTTTACAATTGCCTTTCACTTTGAAAATGTTTCCTTTTGGAGTTAGCTGTGCCACTAGCAAGCATCCAGCGTGTCCCGGACTGTTGCTGTGCTTTGCTACCCCAAAGATGCTGCTTATCAGGCTCAGTATTTAACCCTGCAAGATGAACTTCGGTGATATAAAAAAAATGGAGTACCTTCTCTTTCCTCTGCAGCTTTGGATTCAGGGTTCTCTTCTCGATATCTTTCTGGCTCTAGAGCGACATGAGCTCGCTCTACTTGAATTAAAGCCATCATGGAAGTGCCAACCGGTTCATAGTTTCGAAAGGGATCTCTAAGCAACACCGTGACAGCTAGTGTAAAGTTATTCCCCAACAACCCGTGCTTTCACCCAGATGCTTTACCCAAGTCAACATGTTTTATCGATTTTCCACTAACTGAAACAAGGCACTTGGCTTGATAAGCCTCAAGGATCTGGATCGTATTGTCACTAATATGGTCTCCATCAACTATATTTCCACCGTCCAGCCGTAACCACTCATCCAATGTTATAATAAGGCCCATTAATCTATTGACATCATCTCTGAAATCAAGGGACTGTGAACTAGCAGCTCCCTCTAAACTGAGCAAACTACTCAATTTGAATCCTTACCAACGGTAAACGGCACGTCGCTGGAGGACGAAGGACTCACATTTGAGGGCGCATCCTCGTTAGACATGTCACATTGAATTCTCAAACCCTCTAATGCAAGGGCTTCAATCCTATTAATGACTGAGGGAACAAGGTTTTCCATAGACACACAAGTTACACAACCTATGAGGCCTGAGCACATATTGTCAAAGCAGAGTGAAGACGGTCTCGACAGTAGTTTGCAACCTGTATAACAGTAAACGACAATAAAGACATTCACTTCCTAAACATCCCATACATGATCTTAAATTCTTAATGGAAAAAAAGCTTAACAGGAAAGGTAGTAAAGGAAATCGTAAAACTGACCTGCGAACCTCCATGACCGTCATAGACTCCAAAGAATTGAACAGTCTGATGAGCAAAGCCCTTGCTCGTTCCATTGAGTACCCTATCACCAATTAGCATTCCAATTAGAACCTTTACGAACCGAGGCACAGCAGCTGCTGCATCTTCCATCTCGGGTCTCCTTCCACATATAGAAGTAAATCCCCAAAGAGGTACATATTCCACCTCGAACACGCTGCACGGAACCGGAACTGTCATAGTAGTTTCTTCCTTTTGGAGAGCCAATTGGAGAACCCCTTCAGATAGTTTCTCTTCATACGCATCTCCAATCTCTTCCTCGAGGCTTACCCCACAGAAATGGGATCACTTGCAACATCTATTACAACATTCGACTCAACAAGCATGGTGGCTTTTGCAATAATATCCAAACCACAAATGTTTTTCTCGATACCTACACCGGAAGCCACATCAAAACCCAGGAAATCCTCTCCACAGAAGCTACTAGTCTCACTCGCCACAGAATATGAGCACGAGCTATCAAGGTCGCAAATACGATCGCCCTCCAATGACAAAGAATCATCTTACTCACTTTCTTGGGTTATAATATCATTACTAGCAATGCAACTATCTTTACTACTAGACACCATATCAACTTCTTCCATTACCTCTTCTAGTAGTGGCACCTCTATGCTACTTCAGTCTCCATATCATCGCAATAGCAACTGACATCTTCATCGGTTAAAATACCAGTGGGATTTGCCATAAAAGCTTAAGTCTTGTGAATTGAGATGTCCATAGAAGTTGCAAAGCTTGAGTTTTCACAAAATGAATTACCTAATCTAAATGGCAACTCCTCCATCAAAATCCCCTTCAACCCCCTTCGGATATCACACTACTAATCAATATTTAGCAAAACTAACGACAATGTCTTAGTCAACTCAAAAGTGTCCAACGAGGATTCAAGTTCAGATCTTTCGGAAATACTAGAACATCTTTCTTGATCATGATATTTAGAACAAATATTACCTTATAATCACCTTAGCTTAATAAAAAATATATTTCTTAATCATTAACAACTTATAAACATCTTTTATAAAAATAGTTATTTAATATTAAAATATTTATAAAAAAACAACAATCTCTAAATCAACTATAAATAATATAAAATTTTCGCTATATATAAAAAAACATTAAAATCTAATTTTATAATATTTTTTATGGTCCCTTGTCTAATCTTAGGAAGGGTCTTTTTCTAAATTATATCTAATTTGTTTTAATGTGAAGAATGGAAGAAATTTCAATTATATGCATGATAGATTTTTTTTTTTAAATACTGAAAATTTAACACTAGACTCCGTACTAAGAATATAAAATCATACAACAAAATATTTGTAAGAGTACTAAGATGGAAAATTTTACTGAAAACCATTCTTTAAGGAAAATGTTTGTTTCCTCGTAGCTAATTCCTAGTTATGGTATAAGTTTTACACAACAAGGGATGGTATCATTGCTCCCAATATGGCTATGGAGTTTCACGAGTACTGTGCTACCAATTAAAATTTTAGACCAGAAACTGCCACTAGTGAAGGCAAATTTTAACACAAGCCAACCTGGGCAGCCAGTGCATCCACAAACTCTCATCTAATCTTCTAACACAGCCTTTTCTGCCCGAAAAAAAGGGGGGGGGGGGGAAGAGTTTCCCTCGTCCCACCACTCGACTCGGAAACTGGTTTTCGAGACCTTTCTTAAATATTACTGTACATTTCATTAAGTGATTCCGGTAATCGGATGGCAGCCACTCCTCAAGAACTGCCGGTCTTGGAGGTTACTTTATGGCAACATTGGATCACCTGAAGCAAGCATCTGCATATCTGTTTCCTCGGCTGACATCTTAGTAGGATAACCTACCCCCGAATCACCTGCATTTATTGATAAACTTAATCTATCAGTGGAGAAAGACAAATATCATTTCTATGACTACAATAATGGTAGGAAGTTGATGATGAAAGAAGAAAAGATAGAAGAGAAAGGTCCATTACTGTATATAGAATCGACGGATGGCTGCTCCATTGATGGATCGTTGAAATCTGCACAGTTTAGAAAGGTGGTGTCAAATTTTATCTTTTGTAAGTGGAGCAGAAATACCTTGACAACTATGAGACGGATTGCATACCGACAAAATGGCGTAGCCCTTTGATGACATCAAAGTTCTTGTATGTATAGCCAACAAAACTTAAGTCTTTGGGAGTTAAAAACATCTGCATAAAGAAATAAAATTACATGATTGCACATTCATAGCGTCCTCTGATCAGAAAATAGAACACAAACTTCCTATTTCTTATGTTACCGGAGTTTGATTCTTGGTCTTTAGAACCAAGAGTCGGGTCACTCTACCAAAAGACCATATGTCTGTTGATGAACAGAACACAAACCCGTCGCATGCTAAAAAAAGGTGCAAACAAAATAAGTTTACAGATAGCATCATTTGTTAAAGACCTTCCGTGAGGATCCCAAGCCAGTTCTTGCTGATGCTGGAGGATCCAACTGCTGATAATTCAACAAATAATCAGATTAAAACAGATAACTTTAATTTCACTAAGAAATATGTAATCAAGAAAGCGATTTGTATTTGGAATAAGCAAATAAAAGTAATACAAAAAGGGGGAGTTCGAGTTATATATACTTCATCGAACTTCATAAAATTTTGAGTATCCAACTCCCCATTCACTTCAGGTTTAAATGCTGCCTCCAACTCATAGAGCTTATCCCACTCAATGTCTTTGAACCAAGGATGAGCCTGATAAAATTACATGTCATCAACCAAAGGAAGCAAAAATAGTTGGTAAGAAAAACAGTTCAATATACATAATCTTACTTTAATTTGATTGCCTCTGCAATTCCCAACCGGTGCTCAACATCGCAAAGCAATCGACATATAAGATCCTTTGCCTCATGACTTATCTTTGAATCTTCAGGAAATCTTAGGTGATTCCTCCAGTGCACAATCTGACAGTAATTGGTGACCAAAATATCAGGAAAATGAACAATATCTTCATCATGATTACCAGAGGGAAAATGTTCCTCTTAAACTTATGGAAGGACAAGGGAGCAAGGAACAACGGGTTACAGCATGCAAGACATATAAGCAAAAGGGTAAAAGCAATCATGGTGCATTGGAAGAGGGGTCTACTCTCTGAATGCTCATAGAACAGAACATCAAGCATAGTGCTAGTAGGACACCAAAGAACTTAATTACACTACACAAGCAAGCATTTGGCACAATTGGAGTAACTATAACATAGATGCATATCAACTTAATATCATACACGACAAAGGTACATTACACATCTGGGACTTTTTTTGCATCGGAGTTCATTAGAAATAACAGTATATATCTCTAAAACAAAAGATTTTGTTTTATAGCAACCCAAACTAGAAAGCACAAGTTAAAGATCAACTGGAGAAGAGAAAAATAAAGCAGGCAGAAGCATATACCTTCCTGCATGTGGTAGAGGATCATCAGAATAAAATGGTGGGTATCCAATTAGCATTTCATACATTATTGCCCCAGTGACCACCTAAAAGAAGTCCACAGAAAAGGCTGCATTAGCCCACTTTTGTAGTTGTAGCAAGAAAATGATGGACGGTGTGCAGCTAGAAAAGTAGAACAGGTATGCATCGTGCATGAAGGTGAAGCAAAAAATTGGAGAATAAGTAATAGATCCAATTGCAACCACGAGAAACAAAGATAACTGAAAATAATATAACTAACCAGTCACATTCCATGCCATATCCTTTCTTCAGTAACACTTCAGGAGCGATGTAGTCAGGTGTTCCCACAGTTGAAAATGCCTTCACAGTAAAAAAAAAGATGGCAAAAATTGCTGGAAAACTTTGCAGCTGAATCAAGTTTTTCATGCCATAATCTGATTGTATTACTACTTATGCAACTACTCATTTGGAAACTTACCGAAAACTTTTCTAATTGAATCAACAGTGTGGGTGTTTGTAAATCCTTTGCGAGGGAAAGAAACTTTAAAAATGCTTATAGTAATGATATGTGACATTAGTTGCAATTCACAAAGTCCAATATGTAATATTGGGGCATCAATTAGAGCCAAAACTGAAACTTGGCATGGGAAACTTGAGAATGGTTAATATCATACCTTAAAGAAACATCTCAAGGAGTTAATGTGC